TATGTTACCAGAAATTTGTTTTCATTTAATTATGTGTATAATGCATGTTATAGAAGATTTACTGTTAATTATGGAGCATTTGTCTTGTCTTGTGATACTGCACCCAACATCATTTAAGATAGTAAGGAAATTGTGATCTAAAAACCGTATACAGTGATATTAAGGGCTTAGCGGGGAATTTTTGTATGTATTAATTTTTTGGGGAGGATATAAATCTAGCAGTAGTAGAAGGAAACGTATTATGATCTGCACTATCAATTTAGATATGAAATTTCTAATACTTATATATCCTTTTGCTACGCCCCTTTCTTTTATATATGCTAGAGAAATTTAAAATTTGCATTTTTCGTTTGTTAAAAAGTCTGTTATTTTGCGTTTAAATTCTCTGTAAAGTTCGGCATGGTGGCGCTGTTTTCATAGCGAGGAGAGAAAACGTCTCCTGATTTTAGAAGCTAGCTTGCTAGCTAGGTTTTACAGACAATTTTAACACATTATCGTTCACATTATTTTGTTTAGGCAGTGTGTCAAGGTCTTCATGTTCGTTGATTTTGCTATTGCTGTTTTTTGTATAACAATCGGTAACTAAGTATTCATTTAATTTAATAAAGTTACATAACTTCCAACAATTTTAGGGAAAAAAGACCCATTGATTGTGAAGTATTGCCAATTATTTTATTATTACAGTGGGCCATTATTAGATTGTAGTAAGTGGTAATAACAATCGTAATTGAAACTTTTTTTTATTTGTTTGTTAAAATAGTGTCACGTTTTTCGTTTGTAGTTTGTAGTTTACTACGTATTGTATTGTAGCATACTGTACATCACTCAGTTTTTCACTTGTTATGAATATCTAGTCTACTTAAATAACACTATAAACGGTGCAAGGTAGCTACTTGCCCTATAGGTACAAGAACCATATTGAAATGGATCGTCATTAAATTGTCTCAGCACTAATTGTAAAATACGACTGAAAATGATTTCATTGTTTCTGTTATACATTTCTTCGGAAAATAGAAGGCCGAATTGAGAGCAGCCGTCGCAGACGACCTGGGCAACTTAAATTAGACCAAAACAAATTTGAATAGAAAAAAAATGCACTTAATTTTGAAGTTTCTTAAGTGTATTATCTTTGAAAAAAAGCTAATTAAAAAAAAATTAAGGCCAATAGCTGTCATAAAATAGGCCTATTCAATAAATGTTTTATTACGATCTTCATGTTGGGATGACAGTTTCCAAAAGGCCGCTTTTCATAGACAAGTATTATGCCATTTTTATAAAGCAATTTTATAACCATTTGTTATCTAAAAAATGCCTATTTTGATACAAAACATTGTAAAAACAATTTGTAACTAGGAACACATGATCGTTTGGAGCACGATTGATAACGGGCATGACCGTGACGAAGGTTAAATCACTATTAGCAAACACCGAAATCGACACTACTGATTAGCATTATGAATATAAAACCTCTGTTCATAATTACATAACCCAAAATTAGCTGGTACCCATTATATTTCATCCCTGCAATCAATCAATGGAAGAATATATAAGTGTCAAGTATTATTTTCTTATATTTTATAGGCCCAAAATTTGTAGTTTTGATTTGTGGTTGCAGTGGTTTTATTCAATTTAAGGGAACAACAATTTTTGCCAATCATATCCAACTTTAGTAGAAATTTAAGTGAATGCAGAAGAATAAATTGATCAGGCCTATATATCAAGTTTAAAACTATATCAAGGTTACGAATTACACGGGTAGAGGAGAGGCCAACCACCAGGTTGTTTTTTCGATAAGTTCTTCTATCGGCAAACGAAAGATGGCGCTCTATCAGGTGCACATACTCCTGTCTCTTATACACATCTAGATGTGTATAAGAGACAGGTTCTACAGACTGTAGGAAAACTTATTGACACGTATTTTACTTTGTTACTTTGAACAAAATCATCAGAATGAGCTAGATAATATCTTAGACGACCGCTTAAATGGGGGAGGGGCTGATGTGAGGTTCGAAGGTGAAAAGCCGGAGGGTCAAGAATAAGTTATACTTGTAACTTATTAAGAAAAACAGAAGAGATTCTAGTAGTAGTGAAGTCTTGCACAGTCTTAGCTTAGATAACTTTGATAAGTGCCTGTTTCAAAGTGAAGCTATCACTATGTTGTTCAAAATAGGCCTTTTTCACAAATCTGTAGACATCTTGAAGTGATGACAAACATGGCGAATCAGCGGTGCGTAACCAACAGAAATTAGATAAGCCTTTGGGCGGATTTTTTGACATCATGTTATTTAAAAAATCATAACTCTAAAATGGGGCGTTGTATCCAAAAAAAATTTCCAGCAAAATGTTCTTAAAAGACTAGTCTACACCACTATATGATTGAAAAAAATTTTTTTGACCTCTGAAATCAAGATTGAAATATAAAAGCCTATCTCAGTGTATTAAAATAGGTATATGCATTACAGTGTTCTACCGATTCGTGAAAAAGGCCTATTAGTATTACCAATAATTTGGCACCAGCTTACCTAAATTGTAGATTCAATATTAAAGAAAGTTCTTCTAACACCCGATCTGAAAACCAACTTCTTAGACCTAGAACAGGTTTATTAAAAACGTAGTCTCTAATACAGAGGTGCCAAATTATGGAACGAACTAATTGATGACCTCAAAACTTCAATTACTCTTTCTAACTTTAAATATAAATTAAAAGACAATTAAATATTTTTATAGTAATGCCAAAATTTAATTAAGCTATATTTTGTTTTTGAAAGGCTATATACAGTAGCCTAATAAACAACTCAATCTTTTATCTTAGATTAGCACATTTTTACAATAAGTTTTAAGTTTTGTTTCCTAATTTGGTTTTAGTTTTCTTTTATTTTCTGTAATTAATATTATTCTTTGTTTAAAATTAGTTAAGTTTGGTTATTATGTCTATTATGGCATTGATGAAAAACAACATTGAGGTGATCAATTGTTTACCGTGGTTAAATAAAGTTTTATTATTATATTATTATTATAATATAAATAGGCCTATTGATGTGCTAGCCAGCTGGCAAAATTAATTGTACACGTGGTATGAGATGATTTTTAACTACTTAGCGTAATTTTTGTCTTCAAAAATTTCCAGTGGGGACAAGAGCTTTTCTTGGGAGGTGGAGTGCATGTGCACCTAGCCCACGAACCTCATGACAATAAGTCAAACAAAGTTGGTGCTTTTTCATTAACTAAAAACATAGTAAACATTATTTATTTTGAGTTATAGAGAAAAATAAATTAGGCCCTAGAATTTATGGAAGAAACTATCTTAGTCATCAAGGTTGTTGTTGATCTCTTTACGCATGCATATGTAATTAAGTCATACTAGTTTCTAGTTATATTTACTTGCCTGATTTTGATGGGTGATTCCCAAGATTTCCATCCATCCCGGCACCTGGTGGCTGATCAATCTCATCTAAAGGACATTCGACGTAATATAGAATACCCTTCATCAAGTTTGGCCAATCAGAGGAGAAAGAAATTTATATAAACTTTCTCTGATCCTTTTAATCTTAGGGTATCTAAAGAAGGTTGTGTCTCGCTGTTTGGCTACAAGTTCAAGAACACATAATAAAATTACTACACATTACACAGTTGTGCCAAGAGAAAGTGATCCAAGATGGAAAGGTAGGTGGTCTCTTCAACATCCCCTTTCTGTTGAAGATCTTATAATACTAATCCTTTAGACATCCATATTGTGATACTGGTAAACATTTCTGTTTGACCCACATGTGTGAAGCACCTATACATTAACAACTGAGGCAATATTTGACTAAATGTATTGTATCTCCTCTTTCAAATAGTTTTATTTTATTTTTAAGTCATTCTTTTTCAGAAACAATAAGAAATAAAATCTAACAAAATACCCAGGTCATGGCTTAAAGTGCATGCATGGTATCACAAAGGAACAACAGAGATTAAAAGTGTTAAATGAATATTAAACATGATTTTTATAGTTAATTATACAGTATTGAGAGTAAAATAGTTAGTATATCACTTGATTAAAATCTCTCATAACTGACAACATATTGTGGCCAAGGGCCACAAAAAAGAAACAAACAAAAAACAGTTCAAAAATTTTAAACCATTAACAATATTAAATCTTTGAAAAAACAATAAAAATTTACAATAACATCCAAAAAATTACCACCAATAATTAGGTAAATGGAGTCGAAAAATTGATCATGAAAAGGATAATAAATAAGAAGGATTTGAACATCAGACTATCCAATAATTTGAGCAATTGATTGAATATAAGTGAAGGGGACATCTCAACATGCGATGATATAAGTAAGGCCAAATAAAATAAATTGTTTGTTTGCCCTTGTTTAAAAAAAATGCTTTAATTTATTTTTTAAAAATACTTATCAGATGGAATAAAAATAACCTACAGAGGCCTAGAATGGCAATATCGTTCATCAGACAACAACTTTAGACTAATTTGTAGGGCATCTGGCAAAAAATAAAGATAAATTTACTCACATTTTTTTTTAATTTGTAAAGAAAAAAGATAAAAAAATTATTTTTGTTTTTCCACCCCTATTTTTTTTCAGTGAGTTAGGGGCGGGTGGAGGAGGGCAAACAAACAATTTTTTTTATTTGGCCTAATGAAACATTTTATTATATTTAATTGCAATATGTTTGGTGTATCGCATTCCAAAAAATAGATGTGGAAATGGAACGATATGGAGATGAGGTAGATGTTTTGGTTGTAGGAGGAGGACCTGCTGGGCTTGCTGCAGCTATTAGACTAAAACAACTAAGCCTAGAGAAAAATCACGAACTAAGGGTGTGTTTGGTAGAAAAAGCAACAGAATTAGGTTTGTAACTTTTGTGATCAATATCCAATTTCACTAAACATCTGTAAAATGTTTTATTTTGCACAATTTTTCAACAAATAAGGTATGTTTTTAAGAAGAGATATTTACTTTTTTGTTTTGAATTTTAATTAAATTAATAATTAACTTCAATGTACAGTGAGCTGAATAAGCACAAACACTCCAAAGAAATCTATTTCTTTCCTTCTCTCCTTGTTTTTCAATTCTTTTTTTTTGGAGGCTTATCCCTGGTTTACATATGTAAACCAGGGGCGGGCGGATCCAGACATGTCCAAAAGGGAGGTGGAGCCAATTGAGAGACAACACCACTCTAGGGGGTCTGGGAAAATGTTTGTCTTCTAGACACCCGGAAATAACATGGAAGTTGTTTTGGACAATCAATTATTTCTTTTTCTTTCTTTTTTTTTTTAACTTTCCAAAAGAGCGGCCATGGCCGGCTCGGCCCCCACTAAATCTTCCCCTGTAAACAATCAAGGAACCAGTGCTGAGTCAGCTTTAATGTGTACTTAGCAGCCTCAGAGAGATATTGAATCACACTTTGTTCTTCATTTTTGTTGGTTACTTTAATTGTGGATTTTTCTTTTTGGATTTTTTTTTTGGGGGGATTTTTCTTTTCTATATTATATTATCTTAATAGTTTATTTGCTGCTCTATCAGGTGCACATACTCTGTCAGGAGCCTGTTTAGAAACACATGCGTTTGATGAACTGATACCAGACTGGAGGGAGCGAGGAGCGCCATTAAAAACAAAAGTCAAGGAAGACAAATTCTTGTTTCTAACAGAAAAGAGTAGTTTTCGAATTCCAATATTTAAAGGTATGGTGTAGTATAACAATTTTTATAACTCTGATGAAAAAGTGCTTTTGGATCCAAACATTCAGATGCATATTATTATTATATCATTTAATAATAGAGATCACATAAAAAACATCTGGATGGCTTATCATATAGACTTTGTAATGGGTGCACATGTTGCAATGTCCATTCATTTTTCATGTAAGTTTTGCTTTATTTTCTGATCAGGTCTTCCTATGTACAATCATGGTAATTACATTGCTAGGCTTGGTAATGTGGTGAAATGGTTAGGAGAACAAGCAGAGGAGTTAGGTGTGGAGATTTACCCTGGCTATCCAGCCAGTGAGGTCAGATTCATTTGCACTGTTCAATTAAATTCAACATTAAATTTATAACAATTTAAATATATTTATATGCTTTGGGTATGGCAATTTAAAATGCTAGTAAATCTTGTAATGCAAAATAATAATAATTATTATTTTCTTGGGGAATGTGTTAGCAAAATATTTAACGCAGTGGAGTTGGTTAATAAATGACTTACATCTCAATCTGCCTCAACCATACAACTTGTTAGGCCAATGTTGTTCCATAAGTGCATCAGTGATGACTTTCCTATCTTAGGTGCCCGATCATTTAATTATACTTTTTCCATTATAATTTTCATTTCTTTTATTACCATTGTTTATTTGGTCCAAGACTCAATACAGTACACCCTGTTGGCTTTAGCCTGTGTGAGCTTTCCTTGGAGGAGCCTCAATGTTAGTCACAGTGAATAGTTCTTACTTATTTGTAATGACAAGGTAAACTACTAAAGAAATACCATAGTTGTAGTATAATTAAATCAATTATGTTTGTAATAATTTTATCTTACCATAGGTTCTGTACCATGAAGATGGGAGTGTGAAGGGTGTTGCAACCACTGATGTTGGCATAGGTAAAGATGGCTCACCTAAGGTAAACAATTGAGCATCTTGGTTTATTGTATGACAGGATTTTAAAACCTATGGAGGTTCATTCTTGTACCATCTTGATGAAGGTTCTCCATTGGTGGCTGTAGGTTTTGTGGTTGGCTTAGATTACACCAATCCATATCTTAGCCCTTACAGAGAGTTCCAAAGGTATAAGCATCATCCAGCAATAAGATCAACCTTTGAAGGTGGTAAAAGGATAGCATATGGTGCTAGAGCTCTCAATGAGGGCGGCCTCCAAGTAAGTATCATGTTGATTTTAGATAACAATGATATATGATAAATATAGGTGCCAGTGGCGTGGAGTTAAATAGCTTGGTGGTTAAGATGCTTGCATTCCAATTCCTGTCAGTGCTGCAGGATTTTTCCTCACGACCAAAACAACTCCACTGTATAAGCCTCATATTGAGATTTAGTTTGTGTTAAGCATCGTGTGTGTATGTTTGTCTTGTGAAAGGGATTATTACCTACAGGATAGTGATGTATTATTAGATATTATTATTATTAGTGAGTGTAGCTAGTGTCACATGGTCTTTAGGTGTGACTTAGCCGCACGACGGTAACTAACGGATGACGTCATAATTTATTCAGCTTGCGTTGCGAAGTATGTTAATTTCAGGATTTTACGTGCTCGACATACGTTATGGGTTTGCGCATGCGTATTTTGATTTGTTAACAAAAAGGGCAGAGCTATCGCGCTGCATGTTGGGTACAAACATTAAGGTTAACGTCGTACGGCCAAAACTAAATAATAAATACTGTAGAAACTTACTGTAGGCACTTGTTTTTCAAAGGCTCTGTAATTCACTAAAGTTTGTTATTCCTGATTCAGTCTATTCCCAAGCTGGCATTTCCGGGCGGTCTGTTGGCAGGATGTAGTCCGGGATTCATGAACGTACCAAAGATAAAAGGAACACACAACGCTATGAAGAGTGGTATGCTGGCTGCTGAATCAATCTTTGACAAATTAACAGATGAAAATTTTACCTCAGAAACAACAGGTTTGTCTTGGCATACAGTGTGTTAATGTAATTTTAATTTTAATTATTATTTTTGAACATGCAAATGCTAGGAATTAAATAATAGGTAATAAAATTTCTAGATACTGATAGATTGGCATTTTACATATTATTTACATAATTTTTTTTACACTTTCTTCCTACTATGGATTTATATTTACATTTAGTCAAGCACCAAGAGGCCTTGTTTATTTGCACTACTGTATATAAATCCATTTATTGTTGTTGTTGTTGTTGTTGTTGTTGCTGCTGTTATATTTTCATTGTTGTTGCTGCTGCTGCTGTTGTTACTCCTCCTATGCTGTATGAGTTTAGCATTTAGCATTACGATCCAGATTCACTAGTTGACAGTATGTACAAGCAAGTTAATGACAGCTTGTAAGAATCATTTTATTTACATATTAACACAAACATTATAATTTTACTTGATTGAAAGATTAAAACTGATGAAACATTTACAGGCCAACAAATTCCTTTGTAGGTATATATTGTGACGAATATGAGGCTCGTGTTAAGAAGAGTTGGATTTGGAAGGAATTGCAATCCGTTAGGAATATTCGGCCCTCATTCAATAACCCACTTGGGGTATTTGGCACCATGATGTATACTGGATTATTCTATTTCATTGGCAGGGGAAAAGAACCATGGACCTTAAAACACAAACGTAAGTCAGCCAATATTGATCATATGTGAATGAAAATAAAAATACTTTGAACATGCTGTACCATCTAAGCTACAAAGTACCCATTTCTAAAGGTACAAATTCTTTGAACAAGCCACGCCATCTGAACAACAGGGCTTGTAGTGTTGCTGATGGATTTGATATGTATGCTAAAAACCATTTGTGTTCTGTGATGAAATTTTGGGTGTTTTTTTGGGGGGGTTTTTTTTTTTATTTTACAGATATAAAGTAAACATATTGTATTCCAAAAATATTGTAGAATTTTGACAGTACACTAGCTTTTGTGCACACAATGCACTTGTTAGGTGAATGTGAAGCATAAACTGTGTGGATGGAAAAATCAAGCTGAATGAGACAAATTTTAAATGAGTCTTTAAAGTACTAAATGGTTTTTGAATTTTATTTTCCATTACATCAGACTAGTACAGCTCATATATTTTATTTGAAAATATTGTAGTTTAAAGTTTTACCTTTATCAGACAAAGATTCTGAAACATTGAAACCAGCCTCACAGTGTACCCCAATTGAGTACCCAAAGCCTGATGGAGAAATCAGCTTTGATCTACTGAGCTCAGTTGCATTAAGTGGAACAAACCATGAGGGCGACCAACCAGCTCATCTCACATTAATGGATGACAGTGTTCCTGTTGATAGAAACCTTGCCGTATATGATGGACCAGAGCAGAGGTTCTGTCCAGCAGGTAAATCAGTATTGTTGATGCTTTTTGGTTATGTAGCCCCAGACCCCATCATCAGCATTTCCCCTCTTACGAAGGGTTACCGACTTTCACGCCATGATGACTTGTTTGTGTCATCAGTACGCTATTGGAACATTTGTATTTTACAGTGAGCCTGCCCTGGCATACCACTAACCCATCACTCTAGGGTAGGGGATGGGCATAAAAATCGGTCCGAGGGCCAAACTGAATATTTTATTTTATTTATCGAGGGTGCACCCAAACATAGATGTTTCCAGTGTGCTTCTTAAAACCTTTTATACCACTTTATGCTCAGTTTTAATATTACTTTTTACAGATGATCGGTGTTGAGCCCTTAAAAAACAGTGTTTTCTAGCCAAAGCCCTTTGCCACAAATCTTTTTCTTTTGCCGCAACTATACTTTGGAATTCCCTGCCTGCACACATTAAAAACTGTTCTGTTGCTTCATTTAAAAAATTACTTAAATCTCACCTTTTCCATCATTAATGTGCACAGCGCCTTTGATAATGCACCCCAATCATTTGACACTTTATTATGTCTGTAAAAACAGTCAATAGTCTGGAGTAGAGTATTCATTAAACTATGAGGTACCTTGTGATTTGTAGATACTGTATCATGTCACTTACTGCATTGAAATATCTATATACTGTACAGGTGTTTATGAGTATGTACGTGTTGAAGAAGGTGATGGAATGCGATTACAAATCAACGCTCAGAATTGTGTACATTGCAAAACCTGCGACATCAAAGATCCGAGTCAGAACATTAACTGGGTTGTACCAGAGGCTGGAGGCGGGCCTGCCTACAGTGGCATGTGAGATGGTTGTGTAAAGCAAGCAATAAACTACAGAACAGTACATTGGAAAGGTTCTGAAGCTGATGGAATAATTTAAATATCAGAAATGTTTTCTCGATAAGGATCTTTAGGGGTAAATGACATGGTGTGCATTAGCAATGCACATGCTATGCATGTTTAAGACTGCAATGCAAACTTTAAATTAAAATATCGTCCTTGAGACATTCAAGATGAATGATACTCTATTCAAAATAAAAAATATGTCTATGTTCTATTTTACTGAATATTGTGTGTTACCTATTTATAAATCTAAGATATTCTGGACTAATATACTAAATATTTGAAGATGTACAGATTAAAGTAGCATGGACTTAAAAACGAACATTTTTCTTTGATTTTTTTTCATACAGTACATTGTTTTGTGAACCCTCCGCTAGTAATTAGAGCCTGTTAGTGCACCCATCACCATATTTCTTAATGTATTATTTGTTTAAATTATTGTGATGAGGTAGGGGGAATTTATTTTTTTTTTTGGTGCAAAATGGATTGCACATAGTGTACTCTAATAAACATTCCTAAATTTCACTTTAAATGTATGAAATACATTTATTACCCTTAGAATTTGTTATTGCCTGATCATAAAGACTTGTTGATGCCAACCAGTTTAAAGAAATGCAATTTCTGCTTGAGTAGAACATCAACAGAATGTGTTGTGATGTTTCTTTCATTTTTTGTCGTACAACGCAGCAAGTGCCTGGCTTTATGCATTTTTTACAATTGGTGGAGTGTCAAATTAAAACTGAACTGACCAATCAGTAGTGCCAGAATACATGCATGTCCAAAAACGTATGTGTATAGGTACATTTTACGCTATCTTTTTTTGGGACCTTAGAATCAACATCCAAGGGGCGGGCTTAGCAGAGAGGTCTATTGTGGGCCTAAGGGTTCCTTAATATATGTTTTCCCTCTGGCTAGATTGTTTTGGTAGATCAGTTTTTTATAACCAAGCAGTTCAATGATGGCTCCAGACAAGGTCAGGATCACAGGGACAGTTTTTATCTTCCCCCTCCCATTGTGCCTTTAGTCTACAATATTAGGGATTAGCAATAAAAATAAAGTTACTTATGCCTTTGCAGACACTGAAAACAAGCAGAATGAAATGCTACCACATTTACTTCATCTTTGACAATATTTATTTTCAGTCCATTTTAAATTCTTTAACAAGTTTCAAGCGACTAATTAAGCAATGAACTCATATGGGATGGGCTCAACATCTTGAGGTTGGTTTCCCTTGGCAGAGACAAAATGTCCAGGTCTGGGTTGCTTTGCCTGAGGAGGAAACAAGAAAAACCAGGTTTCAGATAAAAATTAGTTAGTGACAGCATTAAAGAAGTTTATAAAATGCTTGCATTCGCCTGACAATTGGCAGGTAACTCGATGATGATAAAAGCAATTTATTACTTTTCAACTCTACTCAATTGCCACAACTTTAACTACGTTAGCTATAATTTGGGACGTACTTGTCGCCTAAGGTTCAGCCTTTCACCAGTCTCTTTTGCTGCCTTCTTCAACTCCTCGTTCTTTGCTACTCGTTTTAAGAAATCGGACCTGCACTTTGATGGCTTGATGTGTTCAATTCGTACATTGATTCTCTTTGGAATAATTCGATGCCTGAAACCAAAACCAAATTGGTACTTGATAAAATATTATATTTTCTAGCTTTACAATCTGTGCATTCCCCTCATAAGCCAAGAACACACAAGATGTTCCACACAGTCTCACTATGGGGCTTATAGTTTGTGGAGTTGAAAGAAAAATGTAATACATAGTATACAAATAATGAATGTTTATAAGCGCAATGGAAAGAATATTTTCACGAGGTGAATGGAACAGTCAATCTTTCAACTCATGAAAATATTCTTTCCATTGTGCGAATACAAAACATTTATTATTTGTTTTATAACACACTTAATAGATTTTTGTCATTTGATATTTTATGGAAACAAATCTTTTTTCTGTATGGAGATTCTTATTATTTAAATTTTATGAAAAATCTACCTTTTCTAGATAGAATAATCCAGCATCTTTTTTACCAATCAAAAGATTGTATTAGGGTGTCAAGTCATGTCATGTCATATCCTAGGCACCGTGCAATAGGCAAAAACGGATGAAAAGTGAATGCATGGATGGAAATAAATTGACATGATGAGTGACAAAATAGGGTAAATCACCAGTGTCGTGTGATACAAAATCCACCAATCAAATAACAGGGATCTATTTAGGCATGTTATAGTATGGGATATACAAACAACTAACTTGATTTGCTTGTTCACTACAATACCAACAGCATGAGGTGTGACATTGTAAATGCGACCAGTTTTGCCGTGATATGCTTTGTAGGGCATACCCTTTTGGAAGGCACCATTTCCCTGTGAAAAAACACAATTTTATATATTGTATTAACAAAAATACATGTACTTCAATAAATAAAATTCAAAATATATACTACAGTTGAACTTGCCTAAGTTCAATCCAAAATAGCATTGGAAAAATTGATTTGACTTGGATAGAATTTGACTTACAGATCATTAATTAATAGGAACAAAACAATTTGACATTTAAAATAAGAACGACTTGGAAATTATTCGAGTTGGGCAAGTTTGACTGTACTACAAATGAAAACAACATTTAATACACAAAATAAGCCATTTTGTACAATTTTTACTGACCTTGATGTCAACATAGTCTCCTCTCTTGTAAAGTGTCATATATGTGCTAAGATGCTCAACTCCATGTTCTTTGTATCCCTTTGAAAACATGTACCGTGTACCCCGGCGGATGCCGGTGGTGTTTGTCTTTACCATTTTGATTTATTGTCAGTTGATGCACTGATCTGCGTAAAGAAATAATAATACTGTACATCAATACCTGTAAACGGATTATAAAAAAGATCATTTCCACACATGCTGAACTTGCCTAGTCGTAAAGCCTGTTTTCTACTAATTTATTTGTGCTAATCGAAAGTATAGGATTGCTTCGCAAAAAGTAGAAATAGTTTGAACTACTGATTTCGCTGAAGCGAGACACTCTATAGAAATGTGAATGTGCATGAACCAATGCTTTCGATTTGTGTAAAAATTTGCCTACGGGAAAACAGGCTTTAGGGGCACTACTTTCCTAATATGGTTAAATTTGAAATAAGACCCCAAGGTGGGTTACCCTAGTTTTGTTTGTGTTGTTTTAGGCTGTCAGGTAGCCAATCATTCTGTAGCACCTCAGCCACTGTTTATATGCAAGACATTTCAGTCGCAACTCAACCTAAAGGAGGTCAATTGTACGGAGTGCCGTTAAATTTTTTTATAGAATTAATTTCAAGGCCTGTAAATGGAAATGCAAAAAACTAGGAAATGTATGGTAAATGTAAATATTGATTGAAATTTTGTTTTAGTATTCAATATTTGCTTTTAAATGTTGTTAAAATGAAAATTTAAAAAAAACATTAATGACAAAAACAAACATGATAAAGAGTTTGTTTTTATAAATATGTTGATAATGAAAACATAACAAACCGAAAATAAAAAATGTATGATAAACTGACTGACGCACATATTTATTTATAAAATATTATGGGCATATTTTTTCGCAACTACATTGGCGCTTTACACTCTGCAACTGAAATGAAGCATGACCAAAATGAGGCACAACCGAAATGATCCAAGTCGAGAAAGACCGGTCATCCCTTTTTTATTTAAACTTTTTTACTGTATTTTAGACAGAATAGGCAGAAACCCCATTGATTGTACAAAAAATATATTTATATTTACGTTTGACCTCCTATCTACATTCCAAGATAGCCACAAATACTTAGGCCTAGTAGAGTTCTGTTGATCAAAACAACACTTTAGTGCTAGGCCCACCTTCACAGGTGGCTTCGCAGGCGGCTTACCTAGAAGTAGGGCTAGGCCCGGTACCCGCTAGTTTTCTATTTAATTAAGGCCTAGAAAGAATTGTTGGTCAACATGAGTTTATTGGTAATTTTATGTTATATTCATTATTAAATTGATAAAACTGTATATAATATAGATATAATTTAATCATTTTACGTGTGAGATGCGTTAAATAAGTAAATATTAATCTAAGTACATGTAAATCAAGACAATATTTTATTACAAAATTTCATACCAATAACTCAGCAATGTGTGCTTGGCAGAAAAGACAGGACCCAGGACACGTGATTAAAATTGTATGTTTTATGTATATAATTGAGTACTTTAAATATTTAAACATCATATATATATTATTCTATATATTTTATCCATGCTAAAAATATTGTATTAAAATTTAAAAATTATTTAAATTTGAACACAAAAATATGTCTTTATTTTTAAAAAATGTATAAATCTAAGGTCAAAAAGGCAAGGAAGAAACTATTTGCACGATACCGTGCGAATAAATTCATCACAAATTTCGATGCTGATTGGCTAAGTTATACGCACGGAACCGTGCAAACAGTCACCTGGCAAAGGTAAAAATACTCCCAAACCCTCAGCGCACAAACTTGTTTTAGAGGAATAAAAAGAGATAGGAAGACCTGAATAATGTAAATGTTCGTTATCCGTGAAACTTGCATTTTGACAAGCAACTACAGTGAGTTGGCCCAATGAATACTGAACTATAAATATGGTAAGTTAACATTGTTTGAAGACGGTACATGTACTATTTATTATTATACGTGAGCTGAGACATTGCCAAACGATGTTCATCAGACGGACGATGCCTTCGATCCAAAAGGGGATGGGAATGTTCCGATGGGAAGTTCCCCTGGTTGTTGTCCTGCCTAAGCCTAGGCCTAGTCTAGCCTAGGCCTAGGCTAGCTATCACCTGGGAGTACATTGAGTAGCTGCTTTTATAAATAATGATACTGCTTCACCATTTATGATATTCAAAGCGACAGTTTGAAACTAAAAGTGGACGACGACAAGTATTTGATGTTGTTTTTCCGTTTTTTATCTGTAATTTAATATTGCATCATTTTATTTTTATGAAAAAGAAGGCCTAAACCTAGTTTTGTACACATATTTTGTAATGAGAAAGCCTAGGTAGATACTCTATGTTCGCATTTTAATCCTTTTTTCCATTTTACGCTTTCTTTTTTTAAAATAAGAACCAGTAAAATTTTGCCCAGGCTCAGTGTTCTTATTTTTTGGCTAATTTCAGGCTCAAAATGTTCTTATTTTGTTCTTAGTTTACACACCTTTTAAAAAAAAAATTATTTAATTGTACGGCAGTAGGCCTATGGTATGCACTGTACTGGAATGTAGGTGAAAGTGACCCCACAAAAAATGGCCCCCAAATGTAAGATAGGTACACATACTGTACTGTATTATAGAGGGTATTACAGTCACACCTACTGAACATAAATGTACAGATATAATATTTTGGTTTTTTAAAATATAAACCTCATTTGAAATTTTCCTCAACCTCAATTTGTTCCTATTTTGTTCTTAATTTTTAAGCAATTTCAGCCTCAGTGTTCTTATAAAATGTGTTCTTATAAAAAAAAAAAAAAGTGTACTACTACAGTACTAGATTTAATATATATATATATATTGTATATTCTGTACTGTATATTATTCACAATTTTGACAGAATTGTGGATAATGTCGAAAGTAATTTTTTTTTATTAATTAAGGCCACGGGAATGGAAGTTGTTGCAGATTTGCATCAAAAAAATATTGAAAACACATTTCATTATTTATTATTTTTTATAAATAATGCTGTACGCAAGCCGCGGCATCAGCAAATTATGTTATTCACAATTCACGAGTAATATGAAACAAATGCATACTTAAAAGGTTGGCCTAGGGCCCTAGACCTACAATAATAATATCAGTCATAAATGTAAACTAAGTTACTAAGACACATCTTTTTGGATTATGTGTAATTTTAGAAAAGTTATTTATAGTTTGGCCTTTATTGTAAACTACTCTTGAATAGAAACATAGATAATAAATAGAAGAAGATAAAGCAGTTCGCGATGTAGTGGAACGTCCATGACAGCTCTTTTTCTCCATCTGCATGGTGGCGCTATATCTTATAATCAAGAGCCGCTCAAGATTTGTTTAGTCAGTTTGATTTGACCAGTAAATGACCTTAGCAGCAATCGGCGATATTGATGTGATTCCCTGCTTTCGCAGTGTTCGCGACAAGTGATCAGATGTGATGGAATAGGGCCTAGGATATTGTTTTTCTGTTGTATGTACAACTTAGAAAGTCTGTGGTAAAAAACGAAGTATTTTTTTTCAAAGTAACAAATTTTCAAAATAATGAAAATTTTTGTGTGGTAGGTTTTTAGGCATGCGGGCAGTGGACTCAAATCTACAACTTCCATTCCCTAGGCCTAAAAATAGTGATTTTAGCAAAAGTTACACCTTCCTTAATTACTGATGTTTTCGAGGTTAAAGCATCATTAAGAAAATTGTTTTGTACAAGATTACATTGTACATCTCTGCATAGGTATCATTGTCATTCTGAGTGCTATTTCCCTGATGTGTTATCGTTCAGAGAGCAAACCTTATTGCAACACACAATATACCAACACACAGGTGGTGAATATGCAAATGAGGTATAGCGTCATCATATTACAACCGCTACAACCACAGGAGATACACAAAATGTATATTGAACCATAATGAAGAAATAGTTTATTGATTGATAAAGAAAACTCTCATCATTTTCTTTTATATTTGAACACTTCCTTAGCATTCCATGAGCTGTGACCTGTGTGTAGAAAATAGTGATGAATCAGTGTTCTTTCCTGATTTGGCAGAAAGGTCCTCATCCTGTTATTTTAAAGAGGGACTGGATGTCAAACTAATGATAAGCTTTGATTATTAACTCTGGAAAACTGTGCCCTATGGGATTAAACTTTTGGAGGCTACCCAGTCAAGTGGCAGGTCAACCAATAAAAAGATTCCAATTCAAGTTCATGTTATTATCTACTGATGCCATCAAGGATAAATGTCCACATACAGTGTGTTGGTAATTCAATAAACTTAACAATGTGTGATATCACATTTAGGACCCATTTTAAATTAAAATCTTATTTTATTTGCTAAATTTCCTTCAAAGTTATAGACATCTGCATTCACAGTTTTAATGTTAATTCTTTACTCCATATATGTGGATTAAAGAATTAAAATAAGTTAACTTATTGGTTCTAATAGAATTTTAGTCCAAAATGAAGTCACAGGAAATAAGCATTCATCTCCTCCAGGGCAATAAAAAATTTGTTGTAGTGCTGTATTTAAAACATTATTAAAATAGCGAGTCCTTGAAAGACATTAATCTTACTAGATTTTTGAAGTGACCTCTATATAGTAGGTCATTTTATTAAAGCAACAGCACCATGTGGGTATGTGAAATGCATACATCCCATTGGTTGTCATGGGCATCTAATGTTGATGATACACTCAATATTAGGCTAGAGAGCTCAGGATGTGTACTTTTCATTCCATGGCAGCACTTTCTATAGGATATTGTGAAATGAAGCTTGTCTCCTTTATGTTGACAGATAGAAATGTTAAAAACATGGATCAGTATGGAGTATGTTGTTAGTCACATGAGTCACAGACTGCGTTAATGCTAATCTGGATCAAAGAACGAAAGAGGAAAATAGAAATGAAGATTGGGAGATTAAATGTATACAGTAAAAGTCAAATTGGGGAAAAACATGTCCATTAAATTTCCAGGGTTTATAGCTTTTGCTATGCAATTTCTCGTTATGTAGGTCAGGGCTTGATAATAATCTTGATAATGTCATTATCTAGGTATGTAATAGATTATGCAAAAAGAAAAATACATGTATCAAACATTTGTTGCTTGATTAGCAATTTACCACACAATTAATGAATAATTTCTTAATTTACATTCCCTTATACATCATCAATACCTAAATGTTGATTCTGTTTTCATAGTCTGTCAAATAGTTTGCTTAGTATGCATACTCAACTGGTGATTGAACACTGATATCAAAGCCTGCTTGTAGTAAATCAGTTGTGGCTTGGACACTCAGCCTTGAGGTCAGGGGATTGAAAGTCACTTGTGTCCTTGGGCAAGGCACTTTATCTACTTTGTCTCTCTCCACCCAGTCAGGAGTATGAATAGATACCTGGTAGGATGTGGCATTGTATGTACTAGTTTCGTGCGCTAAACAAGTAGCACATAACTTGGTATACTCCAAGGGAGCAGAGAAGGTTGCACTTTGTGCTTGTTTGCCATTGTATGGTCCAGTGGGTAATAATGCTCAGTGTCCCCCTTGATCATTCAAATTAGAATTGGCGCTATATAGATAAATTTGGGTATATTATTATTAAATAGGTTAATTCTATTAACTCGGAATGTATCCATTTTAATCAAATCTCATACTGTAGTTCCAGGCCCATAACCAGGTTCATGTGAAGGGGTTTTCTTATAATAGGCCAAGTTTAACTCAGAAGTGTTCCTTAAATAAAAAAAGTTATGATTAAATACCACTACACAACTAAAATGTTAAAAAATGGGGATTCAGCCTAAGCTTAAACATGCCCTTTTCCATGGTTATGGGCCTGGTTCCTTACTAAAAGTACTAGGAAATGAGTGGAGGAAATGCTTTCATTCTGAACTAGGTTCAGAATGCTTTCATCCTGTACATGCATCAGTGTGGGTGATTCAAGGGAGTTTCCCAGAAATCGGGAATGACTCCTGTGATTTGTGCTATTTAATATAATTAATTAATTTTTTTACTAGACTTGATTTGTAGTAAAGATGGAAAATTTTATAATTGTACCTTGTATTGATGACAATAAAATGATTTTGAGTGATTGCTGAAGGATACTGTACCCTCGATTTTTACCTCAACCTTCTTCTCTGGTTACTGTAGATGTTTTTAGTAGAGCCATTTTTGTGATTTTGTCATCTCTAGCAGTTAACCTAGACTTGCCACAAGTCCCTTATTATTTTTTCTCATTCTGGACAGCGCCACCAACGAGTAAGTTAATTTTATGCAGTATTTCATATTTGGATAAATGGGCGGACCAAAATAAATTATTTCAACCAATCTCTATGCATTTTCAAAGCTACGAACATTTATTATCTTCTTCCAGAGTTAAACATTTGGAAGGTCATTATATGTAAATATAAATTTTAAATCTAAATTCTTCTTTCACATTTTAATGTATTTGAATGTCATATTTTATTTTTCTTTATTACTGTGTGTACAATTTTTGTTTTTATTTATTTAATTAATTTATAAAAATGCAATGAATAGTTTCCGCTCAGCTTTTCCTTTTTAAAATTAAACAATAAACTAAATGAATGAATGAATGATGAATGTACAGATGTTGAGTCACGTCTCACGTCAACTAGTTATGCATGGTTAAAAAATAGTCTCCCTGATAAAACGGAACTAAAATATATTGAATAGATTCTAGGACGAGTAGGCAATGGTAAAGACAAATTAAGCTTAAGCTAGATGGCCCATATTACAATGTACTAGGCCTCTAGAGTCTAATACTAGTAGTATTAGTAGTAGAAAGAGGCCAGGTGGGCCTACTTTTAAGTTCGTACTCAATAATACAGTACCTGTTTAATAATGTACTACAGTACTCTAGGCCTAAATCTGTGTAGTTCAGCGGTGAGCAGGGTTATATAATCTGTAAGTTACTACAACGGTTATCAGTCCATAACATTGTTCAGCAGGCCAAGAACTAATTTACTGGCAAAATTAATTCAAGTAGGTACGCAAAAGGCATCTGCCTAGCTTAGCCATCGAGATATCACACATCTTCAATTTGAAAATTACAAAGATTAATTAGTATGCAAGAAGTAAACTAATCACATGACTTACAAAGTCAGTCATGCATATATCACACATCAAATTTGATGCGTTAAATTATACGCATGAATAATCTGGCAGCGTTTGCCCAGGCCCTAATCCGAAAAAAAAAAAAGAAATTAAGTATGGGACGCCAAATAAATGAGGTATGGCGCGCAATAAGTCCAATAAAAGGTGAGTATCACAAATTAAGGCCTGGAACCCAGGCAGTTAACCCTGTATGATGGAATTTGATGATTCATGAGCTAAAGATATAAATGAATTTAAGACCTATCCTAGAAAGTTTACTAAAATGTCACTGCAGTAAACAAAACCGCACATTTAATGATAATGGAATCCCCACTTGGATACTTTATTAAAAAGGCCATATAGGGCATAGACACAATGGATGCAATGTGATACTGGTTGCATTTGAGATATCATATTTGAATATTATTTTCTGCTTGTATATTATGTGTGTCCTGTTGCAATCTCTCAAATGAACTCTGATTTATGTGTTTTTGAGGGTTTAAAAGAAATAGATAAAAATAATATAATGTCAAATTCGGTCTCTCGACCTAATATTGAACATAGTAGGTTGCTATTAAGTTTTGTTCTGTTGTTCAGGTAATTTTTTTTTCGGTTGGTCAGTAATTGTAACCATTTTCATTTCTCCAGACATCTTGTATACATTGTATTCCAGATGAGAAATTGGATTTAAATCAAGACATTACAATTTTTATTAGATTTACTTGCCTTTATGTTCAATTATAAATGCTTAGAGTGCTGGCTAAGTTCATGTTATTAACCAAGTGCAAATATAGCACACTAAGCAATGTAAATAGCCAAAAGAAATGAGAAATGAACAATTCACTGCATCTGGTCTCTGATTGTCAATATTTGATAGTCAAATAAAGTATTTGCAAAATGGCTCATCAACTATTGCTTGGTGGTTAAGGTATACTGTAGTTGTAGTATGTGGATTTTTTTTTTTTTGAGTTAATTAAATTATTAAATTTTGTTTATGTCAGTGGCGAGTGTACTTGCTGTTTGATGTAAAGGAAAAAAGTAATAGTTCAATAAAAAAAATGATTTTTCTGCCTTTCATCAATTTCTAATGCTTTTTTGAAAATAAGTACTATAAAAATAATTCACAGATTTTCAAAAAACCTGAAATACTACAGTATTTGAATTAAATTTATTTAGCCATTTTTATTGCCATTTTATATGAGACAACTATATTGTCTCAGCCATTATCAATATGCATCTACAATTTTCACATGTAGCCTCAAGTTGCCATTCATGTTTGTACAGGACTTCTTAATGCAAATTTAACAAGAATTTATAGCAATGTAATAATACTCATAGGCTATGTTCTCACACGGCAGCTAACGGTTAGCAGGATCCGGATCCTGCCAACTGTTAGCTGCCGTGCATCCATGCGAGAAAATCTCGATCCGGATACTAACAATATGATGATCGAATCACTGGCCAATAGGAAACTGGAAATTGTAAAAGCGTACGTGTGATTGGTTGATGATAGAAACGCCCTCAACTTGCTAACCGATAGCGCTTGCTAACCATTAGCTGTATCTGGATACCGCTAACGGTTAGCGCTAACCGATCAGGCGTTCTCACGCAGGTGCTAACGGTTATCGCTAACGGTTAGCTCCCGATCCGGATACTAGGGCTCTCGTGAGAACCGGGCTATATTAATTTGTTTTGTTTTTTAAAGTTTTTTTTTTTCTTTTAATTTGGCAGGGTGCCAATGCATCGGCTTTGGAGAAGGAGATTGGTTCGGACCAGTTTCCACCCAATGAACACTATTTTGGATTAGTCAATGTAAGTATTACATTATTTTAGTAATAAATGTAAAAGTAATTTATTTATTTATTTATTTATTCTGTCTTTCTACTGCATGCACTTTCAGTACTTGTGTACTGTTTTTCAAAGTGGTACAGTTACATAAAATACAAAGGTTGAAAGAAAAGTAATTAAAAAACATACATATATATATAAATAGATATCATATATACAATAAAAGTGATTAAGAATTAAAATTAAAAAACATAATAGACATGTCCATGAAATTTGTTGTTGTTTCCTGTGGAAGTTCATTCCACAACTTTGTTGAGCGATACAAAAATGTTCAATATTATTCTATTCTTATTGTATTATAATGTTTTAGATTGATTGAATTGTATTTATATTAAAATCTGTAATTAGCACCAATTGGAATGCTGTACTTTCATTTCTTTTTACTATGTTTATATTTTAAATATTATTGAACTATTGCTGTGAACCAATTTTCATTACTGTACTGTAAAGTTCTGTTACTGCATTGAATAAAAGTTTTTATAGTATTACAATTATTAATTATAAAAAATATAAATAGTGGAAATTAGCTATCTGAAGGAAGCAAATTAACAGGCTTCTTGATGATTCAGTCAGTTCATCAAATCATTCTTTAGTAAAAATGAATGTAAAATAAACCGAGAGAGCATGCAGGGTTATCACAAAGGAGCAACAAAATTTTAAAAATTTGAAAATAATTAAACAGCAAAAATAATTTTATTAAAAAACAACAAATTATGTTGGAGTATTTAATTCACCATCATTGATAATAAATTATTTTGCTTTCTCCACACAGTTTGGGAATACCTGTTACTGTAATTCGGTTTTACAAGCACTGTATTTCTGTAAGCCATTCCGTGAGCGTGTACTTAGTTATAAGGCACAGCCCAAGAAGAAGGAGACACTCTTGTCTTGTTTATCAGACCTCTACAATAGCATCACAACCAGTAAGAAGAAAGTTGGTGTCATTGCCCCAAAGAAATTTGTTGCCAAATTAAGAAAAGAAAATGGTAAGATTTAAGATCAGGGGCGTATCCAGAGATGTCCGAAAGGGGGTCCGAAAGGGGGGTATAATAGGTGGGCCGCCCGAAACAAAACTACTCTAGGAGGTTTATGGGCATGCCCCCACATTTTTTTTGTTTTCTAAACGCCCAAAAATATTCTCTGAGGCATTTTATGTGATCAATTTTTTTTTTCTCTCTTTCTTTTTTTTTTTTTTTTACTTTCCAAAAGGTGGGGTTCGTGGCTGGCCTGGCCCCCTCTAAACCTGTCCCTGGTAATGAAAATATATAAAACGCAGGTATCAGTTTAAAGGGAAACGCTCATGGCACCCCTCCACAAGATGAAAAAATATGACAGAAAAAAGGAAATTTATGAAACCAAAAAACAGCATATTTCATGCGCTGTACTTGGGTGAGTGTCACTCCCTCTATGTAGCCATGTATGCACTAAAATGCCAGATGCGCTGATTAGCTGCTGCAACGTATGGAATACTCCAAGGGGGAGCTGAGTTTGTGTTCCATAGGTGTTTAATTCAACAATCGGTAATGATCTGCATCTTTATTACTTCAATTGTATTTTATTACTTCAATTATTATTATTATTACTTCAATTGTATATGGAAATATATAACTATATTTGATTTGATAATGTGAATTGCATAGAGGTCTCATCATTATGCGCTATAAGTCTACCATTATTATTATTATGTAAGTTCTTGTTTCGTAATATAATAATAATAATAATAATGACTTTATTTACAAACAGAGAAACTTGTCATATAAAATGTGTTTTTCACAAGACCGTTTTGACTTAATTACAAATTATTCAAAGTAAAACAATTGTGACAATCATTAAAGCAAACAGACAAATATTTACACAGTAGTTTATAAGTCAAAAAAGGAACAATTTGAAATCACATTAATTGTAAATTTCATCAAATAAGTATAATTCAAACTCTTAAGTATCGAAACACACGCTATCATGTTGGGATATAATACAAATAAATATACAATACAGTAAAAATATTAGTACTGTAATCTTAAAAACAACTTCACAGTAAAAATTTACTTCAGAAACTATAAACAAACTTATGAAAACATAAACTTTGGAAAAAAGAGGTGTTAATACTTCAAGTAACAATATAATTTTTAGACATTAGTTTTATATTAGTTGGTTGTTTATTAATCTTTTACAAATATTTATGTTAGTGGCAGTTATTGCATTTGGATTTATATCATTTAGCTATTCCAGATATTTGTACCATGATAGGAGAGACTCTTATCTTATATTCTGTTTTTGGTTTATAAATACTTAAAATGTCTTCAAACCTAGTGTTACATATTTGTCTACATTCATTAAATCTGTTTCTTAAGTAGGATATTTAGTTATTCATTATTTTGTACATTGTTACTGCTTCGCTGTAATATTGTTTTTTTTAAATTTTTTTTTTCCAAATTAAACCAGTTTAAGTCTTTTAAGTTTTAGTGCTTGTGAGCTAGATTCATGTCTAGATTTTCACGTTATTATTTTAGCTGCTCTATTTTGTAACACTTTTAGTTTGTTTCGTTTAATGATAGGAGTTAGGTATCCATTTTGAGTACCGGTATGCAATAGTTACTGTCTTTTTATGACCATTTGGTTTCCATTTTAAGACCTGGTTGGTCTCCTATTCTTCCTTATTAGGGAAACAATTGTTTCCTATTTTGGCTGTGGCTGGTGGTCTTCAAGACCTGATATTGCAAGCTAAATTTATGTTTATACTACCTACAGCACCTATTGGTATTTTTGTCTTGACAAAATAAATATACTGTAGTGTAGTTAAACTTTCTGAAGCCAGGCAAATACATTTTTTATTAAAGTAAGTTTGAGTGAATTCAAGTAGTCAGCACCTATTACAATAAAAATGAAGTAAATATATTATAGGAACGAAGGCTAATATAAAAACAAAGCCTCCAACATATTAATCCAAGTTGTTTTAGCACTCAACATGCCATCTCTTATTTATCCATTCATTCATTTATTCATTCATTTATTTATTAATTCATTCATTCATCCATTCATTCTTTCATTCATTTATTCATTCATTCATTTTTACATTCTATAAATTTGTTGTTTATATATGTTTTCCTAGCAATTGTCCATCTCCAGTCCCGACACAGTCAGGATGGCTCCCTGTTTCAACTGACCAAAGTATGTAGTCGCCAATAGAGTGTAGCGATTTTTATTGAAACCGTGCTTAACATTTCTTTTTTTTTCATTTAATAGAACTGTTCGACAATTACATGCAGCAGGATGCCCATGAATTTTTAATATATTTGCTTAACACGATAGCTGACTTACTACAAGGTATGTATCCTAGTAGAAAGCTTGCCTTATTAACATGAGTAACATAAAGTCGTGTAATGGCCAAGAGTATTGGCAGATGACCTAGAGTCATGGGACAAACATTTTTTATAAATAATTGTTGTTTTGAGAAACTAGCACATACAGTACAGTTCTGAGAAAGACTTAAATTTCACTTTCATTAATAACACATACTGGTAGGTAACTGTATGTTGCATGTGAACAGGGAGTTGTCCCACAAGATTTCGAATCCTGTATCTATGTGAACACATGTTGTAATTTAAAACCTATATTATATAAAACCTCAAAATTAATTTATGTATTATAATAATTATTTTAAAGCAATTTTTAAAAGGATGAGTGTTATCAATTAAAACCTGTTGGATGTTCCTTAACCTATTGTTTTTCCAGCTGAGAAACAAGAAAAGCAAGGTGGAAAGAACAAAGCAAATGGTCCACAAACAAATGGCATGTTGATTAACCATCACCCAAGTAAGACAGATCCCACATGGGTTCATGAGATATTTCAGGGAACATTAACAAATGAGACGAGATGTCTTACTTGTGAAGGAGTCAGCAGCAAAGATGAAGACTTCTTGGATTTATCAGTTGACGTTGAGCAAAACACATCCATTACTCACTGTCTAAGGCAAGTTGAAATTATTAAAATTGCTTTAGCTTTCTCATTAGGCAAGAAATTTTTTATACCTTGTTTAGTGAACCCATCGTCCGCCAATAATGATAATTTGGAATAAAAATTATATTTTATTTTTAGCGAATTATCATAATTGCTGCCACGGAAAATTTTAGAAAAAAATTATTCTTATTCTTATTATTATTTGGGCTACATGCTTAAAGTTCTTCTTGTTATGTTTGCCCTTTTCCAATTCCTTTGATTTTGATTTTCAATGTTACTACTTATCTGTTGTAAATTCTTTGAATTGGAAATAAAAAATGATTGATTGATTGATTGATTGATCTTATTACTACACTCTTTACATTTACCAATAAAAATTTATTTTTATTTTCTCCCCTATCTGGATGTTTTTGGCAGAAATATTGCTAAATAAGAAAACAAAATTTTATTTAATTTTTTTTTTCAGACGATTTAAAAAAAATAATAATTTCACACAACAAGGTATAAAAAAGGTCTGGCCATACCGATAAAATAGGAACAATTTCAAAAAGAGGCTTTCAAAATTGAAAGGCAAATTCTCAAATGAATAATCCATATCGCCAAGTACAAGAGGTTTACATCAATTCATTTTTAAGTGCTAGATTATTTTTGCCTGATATGTAATTGATAGCCATTAAAGTTGATTTGTTTCCAATAAAAACAACATTCTCTATACACATTATGAATGTGTTGAATAAATCATTAGTTGTGCCTAAAGTGACTTTCCATCCATACATACATTATTTCTTTGGTATCGAATGTCTCATGCTGCTTAAGGAGTTAAGTTATTTTAGGTGGAGAAAATTCAATTAATTTGGCATGATTTGGTCCCATGTGATTGAAATGTTGTATCTTAGCCATTAATCTACTGTATCCATACTGTATTTCTGTTTATCAACCCTGTGGGTCACTATCCATGATCTTAACATTAACTCTACCAATACTGGTTTCCTGTTCATCAGCCCTAGGTCACTATCCATGATCTTAACACTAACCCTACCAATACTGTATTCCTGTTCATCAGCCCTGTGGGTCAACCTGCCAATACTGTATTCCTGTTTATTAGTCCTGGGCCACTATCCGTGATCTTGCAAATTTAAGTACATTTTATAGGAAATTTTTGTTATCTGTCAATTAGCTACAGGAGGTGGGCTATATAAAACTTGCTTCTAATGATTTATATTTAGTATTGTTGTTTATTATAAAGTTCAGTGTATCACTAACAAAAGCTTTTTATTTTTTTTTTTAAACAGGGTGTTTAGTAATACAGAAACATTATGTTGTGAATATAAGTATTATTGTGAGACCTGCTGTAGTAAGCAAGAAGCACAAAAAAGGTAATAATTAGAAGAAAGATGCACAAACATAGTAAGCCTGGGAGACTTTTTTTATTCCTTGTTTCGCGTACTTAGTTTTTTTAAAGATCATTAATTGACGAGGAAAGTTTGTTTATTTTAATTTTAATAATAATAATAATAGTGAATAAGCTACTTAAATACAAAGTAAGCAATTCTATTATTGGATATTCTTTCAAGTATTATGGCTCAGCATATTATATTATATCAAGGAAGGAATCTGCTCTGTTATGTTATTTGATTCAGATTGCTTCCTCTTTTAATATTTCACACATGATTACTAAAATCAGTGGAGTGTGCAAGGTGAAGAATCTTCTTAAATCTATTAATAGATCATTTTTACCAACAACCATTAAAGGATTCTGAACAAACAACTGATAGTAATAGTCTTAAATGTTAAGATCTTAGTCCTCTGCACTTATTGACCTATGTACCATGAATAATTCCAACTTAATTATTTACTAATTATGGAATTGATTGCTTGCTTGTTAATGATTGGTACTTTGTTGAGCATTATTTCTTGATATTGAACATTAATTATTATACTGTAATCATGATCAGCATTTTGTGCTGGTCAAAGCAGATTTAAACAACACATTGTAAACATTGTGGGTCAAAGAATATGGTCAAACAAGTCATGCACTAAATTAATGATTGGTATTTTGTTGAGCATATTTCTTGATAGATATTGAGCATTAATGATTATACTGTACTGTAATCATGATAAGCATGTTGTGCTGGTCAAAGCAGACTTAAACATGAAAATAATACATCGTAAACATTGTGGGTCAAAGAATATGGTCAAACAGGTCGTGCACTAAATTTATTAATGCATGGAGTAGGATAAACAAATAATTTGATGATCAAATAATACTGATTATTAATGACTATATTGTTGTATTATGTTAGGATGCAGATTAAGAAATTACCACAGATTTTAGCACTGCATTTGAAGAGGTTTAAATATATGGAGCAATTGCATCGGTTCACCAAGCTTTCATACAGAGTGGTATTCCCACTGGAACTACGACTGATGAACACAGTAAGTGGTGGGATTAATATTAACTCATTTTGTGTCATGTTCGCTCATCTAATCCTATAATTAACTGGATAGATTTATAGTAACATTTTTTACTATAGAGTACTACAGTGTTGCGTCACAATACCATGTGATACTACTCTGTTACTATCGGCGACACACAATTCATTCAACCGATACCATTTCCTCCACTGACAAACCATTGATCCCAATTTCTAACGTAATTATTAAATGTAAATGTTAATTGATTAAATGTGTGTTCTATAACTAATATAATGCGAGCTCTTTGTGTTTTTAGTATATTTTGATAAGCCTATTCCAGAAAGCCTATTCTAAACCATTAAGATTATAAAGTTGTTCAGGTGTAATTGAACGGCAACCAATGTCCAGAGGGCGCCACCTGGTGTTGTGAAGACACGACTGTGGTACTCTATATGAACTGTGATAAATGATTGATAAAATACAGTAGTTGTTTCAACATGTCTTTCCATTTGTAGCTCTCTTTATCATCGACGCACTAAGCTTATCTCATGTCGTTTATAAAGGAGAGAAGGAAACTTGTTTCTTTTTGTTTTTGCTTTTATCTTTTTATCAATCTTACTGGAATCACTTTTTCCTTTTGAAATTATGAGGGGAGTTTGGAATGGGACAGCATGTTTAATGAACTACTGTATGTGATTAATCATTTATCACAGTTCAGAGAGTAAAAATGTTTACTATAAATCTATCCAATTAAAGATAAAAGTATTCAACCTTCTGTATAATACTTGGAGTTGACGACCACAACCATGCTTGGTTTAGGGATTAGGATTTAGCATGTCTTTGGTCCAATTTTGTCTTTATATTTATGTTATGATAGATTTAGAGATCTCAACTGTATGTGCTTTTTATAAGTCAACCATTATTAATAATATTATTTTTGCACTGTGTAACACCTGTCTCTTATACACATCTAGATGTGTATAAGAGACAGAGCTTTCTCATTAGGCAAGAAATTGTTTATACCTTGTTTAGTGAACCCATCGTCCGCCAATAATGATAATTTGGAATAAAAATTATATTTTATTTTTAGCGAATTATCATAATTGCTGCCACGGAAAATTTTAGAAAAAAAAGTTTTTCCTTATTTTTATTACGCCACTGTTGCCTTGAAATCTCCAAAAATAAGACAGGTGTATAAAAAAATAATAATTTCACACAACAAGGTATAAAAAAGGTCTGGCCATACCGATAAAATAGGAACAATTTCAAAAAGAGGCTTTCAAAATTGAAAGGCAAATTCTCAAATGAATAATCCATATCGCCAAGTACAAGAGGTTTACATCAATTCATTTTTAAGTGCTAGATTATTTTTGCCTGATATGTAATTGATAGAATTAAAGTTGATTTGTTTCCAATAAAAAGACATTCTCTATACACATTATGAATGTGTTGAATAAATCATTAGTTGTGCCTAAAGTGACTTTCCATCCATACATACATTATTTCTTTGGTATCGAATGTCTCATGCTGCTTAAGGAGTTAAGTTATTTTAGGTGGAGAAAATTCAATTAATTTGGCATGATTTGGTCCCATGTGATTGAAATGTTGTATCTCAGCCATTAATCTACTGTATCCATACTGTATTTCTGTTTATCAACCCTGTGGGTCACTATCCATGATCTTAACAATTACTCTACCAATACTGGTTTCCTGTTCATCAGCCCTAGGTCACTATCCATGATCTTAACACTAACCCTACCAATACTGTATTTCTGTTCATCAGCCCTCGGTCACCATCCATGATCTTAACACTAACCCTACCAATACTGTATTCCTGTTCATCAGCCCTGTGGGTCAACCTGCCAATACTGTATTCCTGTTTATTAGTCCTGGGCCACTATCCATGATCTTGCAAATTTAAGTACATTTTATAGGAAATTTTTGTTATCTGTCAATTAGCTACAGGAGGTAGGCTATATAAAACTTGCTTCTAATGATTTATATTTAGTATTGTTGTTTATTATAAAGTTCAGTGTATCACTAACAAAAGCTTTTTATTTTTTTTTTAAACAGGGTGTTTAGTAATACAGAAACATTATGTTGTGAATATAAGTATTATTGTGAGACCTGCTGTAGTAAGCAAGAAGCACAAAAAAGGTAATAATTAGAAGAAAGATGCACAAACATAGTAAGGGGAGACTTTTTTTATTCCTTGTTTCGCGTACTTAGTTTTTTAAAGATCATTAATTGACGAGGAAAGTTTGTTATTTTAATTTTAATAATAATAATAGTGAATAAGCTACTTAAATACAAAGTAAGCAATCGTATTATTAGATATTCTTTCAAGTATTATGGCTCAGCATATTATATTATATCAAGGAAGGAATCTGCTCTGCTATGTTATTTGATTCAGATTGCTTCACACATGATTACTAAAATCAGTGGAGTGTGCAAGGTGAAGAATCTTCTTAAATCTATTAATAGATCATTTTTACCAACAACCATTAAAGGATTCTGAACAAACAACTGATAGTAATAGTCTTAAATGTTAAGATCTTAGTCCTCTGCACTTATTGACCTATGTACCATGAATAATTCCAACTTAATTATTTACTAATTATGGAATTGATTGCTTGCTTGTTAATGATTGGTACTTTGTTGAGCATTATTTCTTGATATTGAACATTAATTATTATACTGTAATCATGATCAGCATTTTGTGCTGGTCAAAGCAGATTTAAACAACACATTGTAAACATTGTGGGTCAAAGAATATGGTCAAACAAGTCATGCACTAAATTAATGATTGGTATTTTGCTGAACATATTTCTTGATGGATATTGAGCATTAATGACTGTACTGTAATCATGATAAGCATGTTGTGCTGTTCAAAGCAGAATTGAACATGAAAATAACACATTGTAAACATTGTGGGTCAAAGAATATGGTCAAACAGGTTATGCACTAAATTTATTAATGCATGAAGTAGGATAAACAAATAATTTGATGATCAAATAATACTGATTATTAATGACTATATTGTTGTATTATGTTAGGATGCAGATTAAGAAATTACCACAGATTTTAGCACTGCATTTGAAGAGGTTTAAATGATTAAATGTGTGTTCTATAACTAATATAATGCGAGCTCTTTGTGTTTTTAGTATATTTTGATAAGCCTATTCCAGAAAGCCTATTCTAAACCATTAAGATTATAAAGTTGTTCAGGTGTAATTGAACGGCAACCAATGTCCAGAGGGCGCCACCTGGTGTTGTGAAGACACGACTGTGGTACTCTATATGAACTGTGATAAATGATTGATAAAATACAGTAGTTGTTTCAACATGTCTTTCCATTTGTAGCTCTCTTTATCATCGACGCACTAAGCTTATCTCATGTCGTTTATAAAGGAGAGAAGGAAACTTGTTTCTTTTTGTTTTTGCTTTTATCTTTTTATCAATCTTACTGGAATCACTTTTTCCTTTTGAAATTATGAGGGGAGTTTGGAATGGGACAGCATGTTTAATGAACTACTGTATGTGATTAATCATTTATCACAGTTCAGAGAGTAAAAATGTTTACTATAAATCTATCCAATTAAAGATAAAAGTATTCAACCTTCTGTATAATACTTGGAGTTGACGACCACAACCATGCTTGGTTTAGGGATTAGGATTTAGCATGTCTTTGGTCCAATTTTGTCTTTATATTTATGTTATGATAGATTTAGAGATCTCAACTGTATGTGCTTTTTATAAGTCAACCATTATTAATAATATTATTTTTGCACTGTGTAACACTTTACTGCAAATTCATTTGGAATAGTCTGCCAATTGAAATACACATATATGCTTTTCTCATCATTATCATCCACACCATTGTCACCACCATTCTCATCTGCATCATCATTGTCGCCACCACTAATTTATCATCGACGTTCACCGTCACTCATCATTTTCATCACAATTATTACTGTCACCACCACTATCATCCTCATCACCATTGTCAATACCACTATCCTTGTCACCACTACTGTCATCCTCATCATCATTGTCACCATCACTACCTATCATTTCATCAGTGTCACCACTACTGTCATCCTCATCATCATTGTCACCACCACTACCTATCATTTAATCAGTGTCACCACTACTCTCATCATCATTGTCACCACTACCACTATCATCACCTCTCCTGTCAGAATGAAATTAGATTAGTAACTACACTGTTTAAAAGAAAGTATTAGAACAGAAACTGTGACCTCACCCTTTAATTTTACTGAGGTGAATGTCTTTGGAACATTCATCAAGATGTAGAAGCGGTTTGGCACAGCAGGAACGGTTTGGTTTCCTAACCTTGTGGTCAGGGTTTCAATTCCTCGCTGTGTATTTTTATTGTGTCCTTGGGCAAGGTGCTTTACCTGTGTTGCTTCTCTCGACCCAGGAGTAATATGGGTCCTGATTGGTTGCCCGCTTCTGCGCCAATATGTCAGCAACACTTGAGCAAGTGGACCCAATGACCAGAGGCAACAAAACACTTTGTAACCTAAAGGAATAGGTGCTATATAAATAACAAATAACTTCAAATTAACTTTCCACTTTCAGTCAGATGATGCAGACTGCCCTCACAAGCTGTATGACTTGGTGTCAGTTGTCATCCATTGTGGAAGGTATTTCAACAATTTTCATTTATTTATTCCGAGGCAGAAATCAGTCGGCTAAACTGGTGGTAGGCACTGTGTAAGCACCAGATCTCTAGGTCCCTGGTTCAATTGCCAGTGCTGCTCTCTTTGTGTTTAAGCTGGAGGGCTGATATGCAAGTTACGATAGCACACCATCTTTTGATTGAGACATTTAAGCTATTGGTCCTGTGTGTATTATGGCTCATTTGCACATGAAAGAATGCAGTACACTATTTGGCAAAGAGTACGAGATTGTCTTCCAGTGTACTACCAATTCACCACCAGAAGGACCCCACTTTTTCCTTAGACTTTTGCGAATTACCGTGGTGCTTACACAAAATAAATCCAAGCCAACCGTCCATCCAGCTTTGGATTTAAAATGTCTAGTGGTAACTGTATGCATCAATAGTCTCCTTATGAATTATTTACATACAGTACATCCATTTACATTGGAATTTGATTGCAGAGTGTTAAGTAAACCCCTAAAGTAATGGTTTTCATTTAACCACAATATTAATGATAGCTTCATTGCATTCAATCCCTTTAATTTCATTTACCAGTCGCTTATTATTTATCATTTTGTTCTTTTTGGATTTATAGTAGAATCTTCATTTTTTTTTTTTTTACATTTTACGATAAAGTTTAAAAAATATATGTATCTAAATTACGATTGGATGCATCTCAGTTTGGGGTATTGAAACATTGGTGCTTTGCTACTCTGTCACAATAGCCTGAACTAAATGCTTCCACTTTTTTTTCATGTAGCCTAGGCCTAGCTTAGTAGTAGCCAGGCATTTATAAGGCATAAACAATAGGCCTAGGGCCTATCAAAGTAACCAACTCTTCTGGGCAACAAGGGATGAAGTAGTATTTGACTACCACTTCCAATATCCAAAACCTTACATAGGCCAACTTCAGGCCTTGCCAATATATGATTTCGAGGAGCATGATGAGAGAAGAAAACGGAATAGCCCTAGGCTTAAAGTTATGGATATACTGTGATTGCGAAAATCACAGAATGGCTACAAACTGTTGTGGATACTAAACGCATGCGTACACATATTCGTTTGCATTCGAAACCTTTCCCATGCTAAAATTTGTTGCTACATATTGTATTGTTTTATCCATTTTCGCAAGTGTTTGCTTATTCTCGCACATTTATTTACTTTTCTTCTTTGGATCTGATATTCAGTAGGGTCTTTCTAAATTGGCTACAAAGCCAGTTGCAGTATGCCTTGAATGCACCCATTTAAGTGATAATCAAATAGAAATAAAATTGTTATAAATTTTTTTTGTCCCTATTGCAGAAAATTGATGTTTCAAGTATAGAGGAATTTTTTGGCTTAACAACAGATGTACAGAAGAATTCAGACGCTGGCTATATCTTATTCTACCAAACACGCGATTTATAGCCAACACTATGCAAATAATTAAATCAGACAATCTTTTCCAAGAAGAATCAGATGCCTTGTAATGATATAAGAATGTTGGAGATATGCAAAGGTTTGGACAGAGGAGAGGAAAAAGAAGCAGATAAAAAAAAATGCAGGAGAATTTTAGATAAAATATCAATACATTTCATTTTTTACTTTGGTTATTTTAGAGGTACCATTTTTGGGTGTGGTTACTAAATATAGTTTATTACTCTGTGATGTGGTTGGTTGAATGCAGTGCATTCTAGATCCAGGATCTTCTCTGATAGCAAGCTAACTGACAGAAGCTCATTTTCTGCAGCACCACATTTTTTATCACCTGAGCCATGCTACAGTAGAAGCTAACAGACAAAAGAGTTGTGTTGTTCAGGAGCAGGCTCATTGTAGCACCAGCTATTATTACCTGAGGCATGCTACAGTTGCAAGCTACCAGACAGAAGAGTTGTGTTGTTCAGGAATAGGCTCATTGTAGCACCACCTGTTATCACCTGAGCCATGCTACGGTAGCAAGCTAACACACAAAAGAGTTTTATTGTTCAGGAATAGGTTCATTGTAGCACCACCTGTTATCACCTGAGGCATACTACAGTAGCAAGCTAACAGACAGAAGAGTTGTGTTGTTCAGGAGCATGCTCATTGTAGCACCACCTGTTATCACCTGAGGCATGCTACGGTAGCAAGCTAACAGGCAAAAGAGTTGTGTTGTTCAGGAGCAGGCTCATTGTAGCACCACCTGTTATCACCTGAGCCATGCTACAGTAGCAAGCTAACAGACAAAAGAGTTTTATTGTTCAGGAATAGGCTCATTGTAGCACCACCTGTTATCACCTGAGGCATGCTACGGTAGCAAGCTAACAGACAGAAGAGTTTTATTGTTCAGGAATAGGCTCATTGTAGCACCACCTGTTATCACCTGAGGCATGCTATGGTTGCAAGCTAACAGACAGAAGAGTTGTGTTGTTCAGGAGCAGGCTCATTGTAGCACCACCTTTGTTTGCATCTGAAGCATGCTGACTAGCTGACAGACAGAAGAGTTTTGTTGTGGAGCAGGATTGCTTCAGTTTTCACCAAAAGCAATACTAGCAAGCTAACAGAATGGTTGTTGATTTATACGAATGCTGCATCACTAACATCACAATTAAATAAATAAAAGAACTTCAAGTTATACTCATTATTGGGTTATGTTAATTATATTTATTATTTGGTGACAGTAATCCCAACAAGAATTTATATTAATAAGATAAAAACTGTGTTTATCCTGTTTGAGAAATTCTTTGCTTCATAATATGGCGTGTTAAGATTTTATACAATGAAACTCTTGATAATGTTTTGTGATAACTTTATTGCAATTCTGCAACCTATGGATCATGATTCAAACACTGTCATGGACACATTTTGATGGGTTGCCTTTTGCTTTAGTTTACAGAAAAATTAATTTCCATATTAGTTACTTCAAACGACAACAAATCAATTCAAAGTTAACATTTTTGTTAGCTTTCTTGGGATACTGAAAAAAATTTATGATTGTGGCACCTCTAGATGGTTGGAAATGGCACTTCAAGACTCGAAATTTTAGTAGAATTTTCTTCAATCTTGAAAAATTTAGGGAGGGCCCAGGCCGACTGGGCCCCCCATGAAACCGCCACTGACGATTCAACACTATAAGGTAGTAATGAGTAGAGTGAGGCAGAGTTCTCTGTATAGTCAGACACTATTTAGTGATTGAATCACTCTTTTTGCCAACAAAAATAACTACATATTCAATTGTACTGCCAAGATTCTGAATGTTAATTCTATACAGGTATAAAAAAAAAGTTACAAAAACAGTTAGCAAATTGTTAATTTTTCATAAGATTATTTGTTATAAACTTGAATTTTTTTTTTTGATAACAGAATCAATTACTGTTCATCAGTCCTTCCTCAACAACAGGACACCACAAAGCTCCCCTAGCCCGAACTATATTCTACAGTAGGAAGGGTAGAAGGATAGGGTAGAAGGGAAGGGTAGGAAGGGTAAATATTTGCTTCTAATATCCTGAACAGTAGGTCGAACTTTGATGTGTAAAATATAAAGGAAGGTTTTAACATTCAATATTAAATGTACTCTTTATTGTGATCAACAGAAATGAAATATTATATAGATTTTTATCCACATGAATTTATTTCAAAGCACCATTGGTTGGCTTGTCAGGTCTGTTGAAAGCCATCAAATAATTATGCATTTTAACAACGACTTCCTGTGAAATATGGCTGTTTTTAATCATGTTTCCATTGTTATGGGGATAAGTTTACACACTAGCAATATATTTTTTTTTTTTTTGCTGGACATGTCAATGCATACCATTGCTAACAAATTTTACATTGGATTACCGGTAATACGCTTCAGTTAAATTTAACATTGCTTTCCTTCTGCTGCAATACCAGTGGCGACAGGCAGGGCAGGAGTTGTACTTTGGTGCATGGCACCATCCGGGGGAAAGGTTTGGGAAGGTTAAGGTAAGCTGCTAGACACTCATACAGTGTTTTTACATAAGGATGGTGTTTCTTGTACCTCATCGGCATCCGAACGATTAATTTATGTAGGCATTTGATCTACAACATAGGGAAAATGCAACTCCAGCCCTGGGAATTATCTAGGTGATTGATGTGGACAACTGGTACCATTACTTAAGTTTAGATCATGGCGGTAATTTTGATTGGCCCTGTGTTACCTTACTAATTCTTTCATAGATAGATTTTATTGCAAATATTTATTACTTAGATTTTCATAATATTGGGAAAGTGATTTAGATGTATAATTTTTAGTTTTTAATGTTAAATATTACTTTATTAAAATGTTTAGAAGAGATGTATTGATAACTATTGATTTTATATTGTCACAATTTTAACAGACCATTAGCATTATTGTTTTATGGTTGCCTCATGTGATGCTACATCAGAATTTAAAAATGTACACATTCATTATCCATAGTGTTTCTCTGGACATCATGTGCTATGGAGACATACCACTTCGCTAAGAAGAGAGTTTAGGAATTCCTATAGAAAATAGAATCCTTAATTTCATGGCAAGTATAATTAACATAATCATCAAATGTTGAAGTAAAAAAATTTCAGTGGTTTTACCTCAAATCTTTTACACATGATTTTGTTGAAATTTTGTAATTGCCTAATAAATTCCCAAGTTATTTAAAAAGCTGGAATAGCCTATTACCGTAAAACCTTGAATTGAAGCCCTGGGCTTCTTTGTTTTGCAAACATTGGATGGGCTTCCTTTTCGAGATTACATTTGCAAATTAAAGAGGGGATTTCTTTTCAAAATGAATGCTGTGAATTTGTACAATTAAACAATAAAATAAGGTAAATGTAACATCAATCTGTATTATGGAGAGTATTTAACTGGCATTGAATCGCCTAAGGCCCCATAAAAAAAATTATTAGTTTATCACCCGCTCCCTCATCACTTTTTTTTTTCAATCAACATATATTCCTATTTTAAATGGTCATTTTTCCATCTTTTTTTACTTGAAAAGCTCAGGGTTTCTTGCAAATATGCTTACTGGTACAACAAAAACATATTTTTTAAATATAAATTTGATTCCATTCTTTTGACTTTTTATATATGTGTCTCTAACCATTTACTTGTGATCATCGGTAAAATTGGGGCGGGATTAGCAAAAAAAAACCTCCCTCCCTCATCAGTTTTTATTCTTTGACAGGGTGATGAAACTAATTTTTTTTTCATGGGGCCTAAACTAATGCACAAAGCAAGCTTATTTTTAATTTATTTTGTTTTTTGAAATTCATGCGCAGTGTATGTACTGTATACTATCTCGAAAAGAAGGCCATAGGCTTCTTTTTGAAGCTAATTTTGCAAACTAAAATAAGAGGGGGGAGGGCTTCAAATCGAGGCTTTACAGTATATAATTTTGTAAAGCTGTATTTCTTCATTGATGCTGTAAACTGACCCTCACCCATTACACAAAATGAACTGCCTTAATATTAATAATGTTAGTGTGTCCATCAAAACATTCTTATTACAAACAGCCAATTATTATGAGTGTATATATTATAGTTAATTTTGAATGTATTTCATTTCTGTAAATCAATGTAATGGATTGGTCATCTGATTGTAATGTAGAAAAAATTTTCAATAAAAGTTGTACAAAGATAATACTATATAATAGAGTATAAAAAACATGGATTCATTTGTGCTTGTTTACTTAATAGTCATGAGTTGCAACAAGCACATTTATTATTGTATTCACATCCTACAATGCTACTGGAATGCTAGTAGAAATGAACAAAATTGGAGTACAATAATCACTAAAAGCTTCTTTTTTATTTTGCATATCAATTCCAGATGAACTCCCGATCAAACTTAATATGGCCTGGGTTACGTGTTTATCCTACAGATGCATATGCGTTCTTTTACACAGCCGTTTGTGGGAACTTAAAAAATAAAAATTTAAAGAAAAAATGCTTTATTCCAACTAGTAATGGCCAACAGGGCTTAAGCCCTTCAATAAGCTCTTTTGATGCAGGTAGTAAGGAGCTACCAATTGCACGACAAAGGTAGGACGTACAACGTAATGACGCCACTAAAAGTCATCTGCGCATCCGAGTTTCCTCATCTCAATTTGGCCAAATCTGTGTATGGACAGAACGTAGGATGCCCGTTAGGATGGTTACACATGAGTGATTCCGTTCTAGTGTTGCGTCGTCGAACAAATTAAAAGCTCCCTTATAAATTTTAAAATACACCTGAATTAAGTGCAACATTCAATCGGAACACAATTATAGTTAAATAGGCCTTCATCTATTGTTGTCCACGCTTTGATATGCAAGTGTTTAACGTGTAATCAAAAACAAACTAGGCAACTGAAAATGTGCAAAATAATATAGCTGTTGTATAAATAATCCCTTGAACTTTTTTACATCTGTCGATTTGAATATTCAATAGGTAGAGAAAATGAAGTCTGTCCATCACCATAGATACGCGGAAGCATGCCAGCATTTGGAATGACATTCCATGAGAGAGAGAGCGTGATGTTATCATGACCCCTATCAAAAACAAAAAATAATTCTTGGTTATTATCTCTTGAAAACTAAAGAATTTAATAACTGTTGATGAATCAGAACGCAAGTGTGTGAGTAGTATAGATTTATAGAATTATTATATGTCATAATGGTAAGGCTGGAAAAATTTCCTTGATGTTATTCTACCTTTGGTATATGCAGCACATAATATTTTCTATGTAATGCATGACATGCTGCAACAAGTACATTTTCGAGAACGGGTAACACATATATTTACATAGGCCTAATTATTAGGGAAGAAATATCCTAATTTTTGAGATTTCAATAAAAAATTTTAAAATCTAATTTAAAATTTTATTTGAAATCATTATTTGGAGGGTTCGCTAAACAATGTATGTAAAGTCTCACCTAAGGAGTAATAGGAATGTGACCTGTTTTCATTTTACAAATGCCCGAACGCGCTGTAATGACAATATTGCGATAATATTACTATGTCTGAGATGGAACACTGCGCACTGTAACCACAAAATTGCAGCTGCGGTTATTCATATAGAAGGCAATGCCGGGAAGATTCCCACCATATTGCGGTAACATAACTCTGTATGCAAGTTTATTTAGTGTGGACTGGGATTACTGAAGTACATGAAACTTTGGGACAAATTTGTGTGATGTGCCCATATACAGACATATCACATTTTTGTCACATAAAAGCAAGAGCATCTGAATTGATAGCCAGTTTTGATTTATTTGTGTTTATGTAAAGTAAATTGATGCATTTGGAAATAGTTTAGTGAATTACTTACTTCAGTCCATTGCCATCATCAAAAAATGGATACTTCATTTTTATACTTCTGTAGTCAAGCAATGCATTGTTTCCTCGCAAAATTATCTTGTCCCACAAAACTACTTGGTTCAAAACCTAGGAATGAAGAAAATCTAATATTCAAGCTGACTTGATTCCAGATCTATCGTATTCATTCAAATAAAACAATACTAAAAACCAAAGGATCCACTGATTATTCGCAAATAAGATATGAGTATGGTAGGGTTAGGGTTAGCATAATTGATTCTACTATTTATTGTTGAAGAGGATAACATATCAGGAGGGTATAACAACCTGTTTTGCATATTAGAGACATTTCCAAAATTAAAATAATAAAATTCAGTAGTAAATATTACAAGATGAGCCAAATAGTTTCAAGAAATATAGAGATATCATAAATTTTATAAATCGATTTCAAGTACAGTATTTTAAAAGTAGTTTAATTTAGATTGTATTTTTATAGTTTAATTTGAAATCATCATAATTATAATAAGAGTGTATCCCTTACATTTGTATCTTGTATCTAAATGAAGTCTTGGTTACATAAATTTCATGTTCAAAATTCTTAAACGAAAATACATATCTGCATTCACAATTCTTCCAGTTAGTTTATGGGTTATCGAATCCATGATATTCTCTTTCCAATATTTGTAAAATATTCATTAAAATCTACATTTTGTTCTTTATTAGTACAATAACCAAAACAAAACAAATAACAAACAAACCAAAATGATTATTGTTAAACAAAGGCTTAGTTTAATCCTCGCTAAGGTAAGTAATGCAAGCAAAAAAAACAGTACTACAATACGATCAACTTACATTGTTTTGTGTCTGGTATTCAGCAGTCAAGTACAAAAACAGTTGTTTTACATTCCAGTTGAATAAAGGATTTAGATCTGCTTGCAAGTCAAACACAAAATCTCCTTTCTCACTCCTTTCATTGTATGGAGTATAACCACTCTTTCTGTTGGAGTAAAAATTATCTTCGTACATAAAGTCTTACCCAGATTATCACATTTTCTCTGACAAAACATGTATGCCCATATACAGTCATGATATTCCTATAATATGGAAATGTTGTGATGTCATCATGACCATATTTAGGCATCACATGCTTTCGTCAAATAACAATTTCAATGTGCACAGGGCTTTACAGTACATTCATTGTACAGCGAAGTAGTTACGGTGGGCGGAGATGGGTGCACACCCGCCCAAGGGCCCTCTCCCCCTCCCCTTGAAGATTTCGACCTAGTCTAAAATAATTTCATTACCCTATCTATTAAAGTCGCGTGGAACAGACTAGACTTTTGGGTGTTATTTTGACACAAAATTTGACATGGAATGCCCAAGTTGACTCCATGTGTAAAAAGGCTACCTCTAGACTTTATTTCCTGAGACAGATGCGTAAGGCCGGTCTTGGTGTTACTGAATTAGTTCATTTTTATTGTAGTATTATACGGCCAGCAGTTGAATATGCTGTGCCAGTGTGGACTACGAGTCTGACCCGCAAACAGATTACATCAGTTGATCACATACAGAAAAGTGAATTTCAGATAATTATCCCACGGTGTAATTATGATGAGGCACGTTTGATTCTAAATATTCCACTGTTGAAGGACAGACGTACCCGCCTGTGCAGGGAATACTTCCAAAATTAAAAAATTCCAATCACAGATTAAATGATTTACTCCCTTCATTACATAATGTATCATATATCTTAAAAGGGGCATGTCATTGCATCATCAGTAGTATACTCAGCCGAGATCTTAACTAGTGATTTGGCAAAAACTTACATCGGTATCACCGGTGGGAACAGCAATATAAGAAGTCTTTCAATAATATAATATAGCTTACGAAAAAAAAAAAAAAAATATGGCCAGGCAGCTGTTACTTTACCATCATTAAAATTATTAAGTATGTGATCAGATACATCTATTAAGGGTAGTATTTGTAGAATGGTTCTTTCTAAAACCAGATTGAGATCCTTAAATTTATCTTGTTAGAAGTTAAAAGATCATATGAAAGTGGTTTGGCGCAATTGGAATGGTTTACATTCCCAATCTCGATGTCGGGGTTTCAATAATGTGAAGCGCTTAGAGGACTTGTTGGTGTTAAGCATTATATATTATATAAGTATTATTATTATCATCATGAACTGCTCGTTCAATTGTTTTAGAAACAATTCGTAACACAGAAATTGTTGTTGACGCTAATTAATATGTTGGTAGTTGTTGACAGTTTTCACACTTATGACTAATAACAATAATATATGCTGGCTAGACCTAATCAATAATTGATACAATGTCACCTATTGATCAAAATATCCTTTTTGATTAATTAAACATGCAGCTTTTCGACTGTGGCAGTGCCGATAGAAAATAGGAGCTATATTTACAATGTGGCAGTGCTGATAGAAAGTAGCTTTTTTGCACTGCAGCAGTGCTGATAGCTTCAGCCTTTTAAGATACGCTTCAAATTTTCAGACGGCGTACTTATTTGGTATTTTTCGTATTATCACTGGCTGCTGAATTCACCAACATTTCTTATATTCATGAACCACTTTAAATCTGGAATACTCTGCCATTGTTGTTTCCTATACGAGTGAATTTGCGAGAGGGCAAAACAGAAAGACTTTTCCCGGCTAGCCGGGCATGGATGAAATTATTGCCAGGCTTTTAACCAATCAAATGCCTTGAATCTATTAGTAGGTATATAGGCCTAACAATAAATTTAGAAAAAATATGGCCTATGTATAAGGGTAGGTAGAAGAAACCCGATATATGGGTCCAAGCTCTAGATGAGTTAAATACAGGGTTTCGTTTACTAACTAGGCCTAAGCCTAGGCCTCCTACTATGCCACCGGCACCAGCCAGGCGGATTCCAGGCCGGCTAGGCCCAAAACCAAAACATGAAGTACACGTGTACTTACACAGAGTGTTTAAATGTATCTATATGCACTGGCGCTAAATTATCATTAAATGCAGTAGTTAAGAAGCAACCAAAGGTAAGAGCTGCCATCACACTTAATGTAAAAGCAAATATCGTATTTAAACGTGATAAAACCGTATTCATTTTGCCCAGCCGGTATTATCTAGCGTTGATCTAAACCTTCGCACAACAAGTATTTTCGGTGGCTATCGGCACTGCCGCAGTGCGGAAAAAAGTTGCTGATTTCTATCGGCACTGCCGCAGTGCCAAAAAGCTGCTGTTTTCTATTATGCCTAGGCATAAAAAATGAACAAATAATAATAATAATAATAATAATAATAATAATAATAATAATAATAATAATAATAATAATAATAATAATAATAATAATAATAATAATAATAATAAAATTAATTATGATAATAATAATAATAATTTTACGATAGTTTGATTAATGAGATAATAATAATCAGCATATTAAATAATATTACGTCCATGAAAACCTGCTTTTAAATAAAATGTTATCTACCGTACTGTATTTGATTCTGAAGGTGCTCGAATAATGCTTTAATAAAGAATTAATACTTCATACTTCAATAGGCATATGTATTACGAGAGTGTGATTAATGAGACATTTGTTGATAATTTATAGAATTAATAATGATTCAGCATATTAAATCAACTTACGTCGTCAATGTAAAATCTTCTTATAAAATATAAGTTTCATTGTAAATTCTATGATAATTTAAACCAAATAATTTATGTTTTCAGTTATTTAAGCATTAAACAATTCAGTGGGCCTAACGCTGGATGTAAATGTAAAACAAAACAAAAGCAAATGCTAATACTATCGCGAGATTAATGCGAAATTTTGGTAAACATAGCTCAGGATGGTTCACACGAGGTGACAAATATCCGTCGAAATGTATAAATAAACTTATTATTTAAATAATTTTCACACGAACTTACGAATATCTTAATTAATATATCTTAATTAATATCTTAAATTAGTTAATTACTAATTAATTAATAGATTAATATAAACATTGTAACATCAACATAAAGAACACGGGTAAAAACAATAGCCTCGCCGGAGCTTCGCTCCTTTTGGAAGGCTAATATGTTTTTTTTTGTGAAAATATTAAAAATTATTGCTATTTTCTAGCATCTCTACGGTTCAGTGCATACACAGTGGCTACCACCAGATTAGCCGACTGAGCACTAATGAGATAATTATTGTTTAATAACGGCTATATAAAATTCAATTGACTAACTATATTTTTTTGAAATTGGGAAAAAACAGAAATCATGTAAAAAAACTGTAGGTTTTAATAATATACCGTACAAAATTAATAAATCGTTTATAGTAGAAATTGTGCACATTATGAGTTAGTAAGAAGGTTTGCCTGATAAGTTTACCCGCTTTTACTAACTGTAAAGTAGAATTGTTTTCACAATAAATTTAAACTCTGATAAACGTTGCACCCAAAAAATCGATGGAGTGGTTACTGAAATGGTTGCGAAATGTACGGTACAATTGCGTTTTCACTCGGGTTTGGTCCGGAAATACGCACCACTGGCAGAGCACACGTGAACAGACTATTGAATTCATCATCATCATCATTCATCTTTCATTTCAGAATTTCAAATCCATGGAACAAAAAAACAAAAAAAACAAAAAAAACAAAAAACAAAAAAAACAAACAAAAAAAACAAAAAAACAAAAAACAAAAAAAAACATGGCGATCAAATGCACAAGAAAAAGTAGATAGGCCTACACAATTTTCTGTATCTACTGTACAAAAAGACATTTTAAAAGATTAAGTTAATTATTGACATACGCAGAGAAGCAATAGGCCTAAGTGGAAAATGTGACCGTCTGAAAATATTCAACATAATTAAAACAAAATATTATCAACTTAAAAAACTTTGACCACACTGTCAAATTTATTCGAACTGTGCAATTCGTGACAGTCATTCGTAATTACTGTTCTTTCAACTCGAAATCAAAAGTGGAGTGTCAACTATAGAAAATTGGTTAAAATGGGTGGAGAGGAGGACGTGCTCCCCTGTCCCACACCAATCGAAGCGCATGGCTTCTAATCAGATCAGACGGGGCTTCTTTCGAGGTATAGTACATACATTCAGACTGACGTTATCTTGGACGTGGTTATGATGGTAATGTTTTGTTGTAGGCCTAGTTAAAATTAAATTCCCACGCAATTATAATCTAAACATTTCTGTATTTTATTTGGTCAACGGGATTTTGTGCATGCATTCGATTTTGAAGAAGCCTTTTATTAATTGAGAAATTATATCTTTTAGTAGGGATACCTAGGTTGAATCTCTGGTTCTATACATTTTTTAGACGATTGAAAATTGTTAATATAAATAGGCCTTTAAAGTACACACGTTTAAAAAATTATACATAGGCCGATTATTTGTTATTTTTATCGTAATAAATTATATCAAAAGCTTGTTTTTTTTTTTTTTTAAATATAATACAGTAATGATTTATATGTACGTATTAATTGCTCAACACTACAGATTGTCGTCATCTTCCGTTAATGGGCCTACTTGAAAAGATATTTTTATTTGCGAGTTTAACAAATAAATATTAAGCGGAATTTTGAATTCCATCGTTGGAAATTTTCTTCAGTACGGTCGTATAGTAGCCGTTCCAAATATTAACAGCATTCATTTTGAAAAGAAGCCGCCTCTTTATTTTGAAAACAACACCTTATTCGGTGGCACACACGCGCACGCTCATGTACAAGTACACAAGTAAAAAAAACACTATAAAAGTCATAGTAAATTTCAAAACGAAATAAAAATAAACCCCAAGAAGGCCAAAAGTAGGCCTACTCTCAAAAAGAAGCCCATCCGAAATGAAGCCCATCCAAGGTTCCTAAAAAAGAAAGATGCCAAGGGCTTATTTTACGTGCATTGGTAAATCTATTTGAGGTTTCCGGTACTTTTTGAAAAAGTTGGGGGCGCTATAATAATTTGTTTGCTGTTACTTTTGGTAGCGGTGGTACTGTAGTAACGCAACATCTTGCAGACAATAAAACAAGCACAATGTTTAGTGGCTGCTTAGTGTCAAGAGTGAGCTCTGGTATTCTAATCCGTAAGCGAATACTGTCTGTATATTTTACATCTCCATGGTCTGTAGTGTAATATTTCCAGTATTTACTCTTGGCTACGCAAGAAATATAAGCTATCATCAGCAGCCAGTGGTAAAGTAAGTAAGATATTTTTTATCTTTCAATTCATTTGTAAAAATAAAGCGTGTTAATTCCCAGCCCTGCAATGTGGTGTGTATCATTTTGTCTCATGGCTAATTAACTGCCCCTGTCAGTGTCAATCCATTCAGCTAATCTCATTTGTAAAAACAATCAAGGCCTAGGGGCTAAGTAGACTCAGAGTGTCTAGTTATTTTTGTTTTCAAATTATAAACTGTATTCAATATTCATAGGTTAGGCCTAGAGGCCCTGTTGTTTGCATCAGGAATATTTATTATTATCAGGGAGTTGTTAATTAAGGCAAGACATCACTCCAATTAGAATAGACCTAGAAATGAAAATAACAAATTGGTTTCCTTATTAGCAAATAGTTTTGCCAAAAACATCCAGACGAAGTAGAAAATAAAATTTTATTGGTGAATGTAAAATGGGATGGTTAAATGCTTCAAATTTATATAATTAGGAAGAAATATACATATCTTACCTTTGGAGATTTCAAGCAGCGGAAGGTGTAATAAAAATAAAGAAAAACCTTTATTTGTTTCTGAAATTTTCATTTTTTGTGGCAGTAGGTGTACCAATTGGCCAAAAATAAATTTTTATTTTTATTCGAAATCACAATACACTTTTTTTTTTTTTATAAGAACACATTTTATAAGAACACTGAGGCTGAAAATGCTTAAAAATTAAGAACAAAATAAGAACAATTTGAGGCTGAGGTAAAATGTCAAATGAGATTTTTATTTTTAAAAACTAGAAAAACCAAAAAATTATATATGTACTTTATGTGCAGTAGGTGTGACTATGTAATACCCTCTATAATACAGTACAGTAGGTGCAGGCCTACCTACCTGTTATTTGTGG